GGTAGTAACAATTGCTTTTTTTTTTTTAACTCATTGACCTTTTCAAAAGTTCAGCCGGTGTTTACAGTTATTTTCTTTCCTTTTCCGATTTCTCTTAACGCGGAGCGGCGCTACTCAGCTCATAAATCAGCCCTGTGTTAACATACTCCCGAATTCCCGAATTCCTGTTTCCAGGTCATTTCACACAGCAGATGTGAATTACTGTGAACAGAACAGGGCAAATTCTTTTATGCCTTTGTTTGCGCGACTTTGAACGCCATCAGAAACACAATTTATTTTGTCTTATCATCCTTAGTCTTTACAACGCTTACGATAACGCATCAGCTGCAACCCGTACTCCAGTCATGATTACCGAGTTTCTTGATGCTGCTAACTTCGTCGTGATACTGATTGTCTTGTACTTAGTGATGAAAATCTACAAAATAGTGACGATCACACAAACTGCAGGGAATGAAACAACTTTTCTGGGGAACGCCAGAGCGAAATCCAAAGGTGTTACAACCGGCAAGGGATGTCATTCAACATTTCCCCCATGCCGAGGGAACTGGCATGTGGAATGGAAGGATCATCGGGAGAACGCCAGCAGTGACACGACTTCCCCGCCACCACGACGAGCGTTTATGAGGATAAAGTAAGAAAATTGTTAGTTCTGCGGTCAAAATTTATCTAATACTTCTGTTTTCCTCTGTTTTGCATTTGTCTCGCTGAAAAACTGATGTGTATGATTTCTGCGTGATTATGAACGCCATAGCGATTTTCTTTTTGTCGGCGAAATCTGCGTACTCTCCGTCTTGAAACAAGCCATCTTCATCTTTAGAAAAATCACTAAATGTCTACGTGGGTCTCACTTGTACTCAACGTCCTTGAAACTGGCTTAATAATTCTTAATTTTGAAATGCCTAGTACTCAATACTTCTTTGCGTATTTTGTCGTTTCCTTGCCTTGATCTGATCCTTGTGTTGACACAATTTCAGACTGAAGCCCTCCTCTTTCTTTCCAACTTGGATGCAATTTTCT